GGGTTAATTGTCATACTCTGAATATAGAATATGGAAAAGATTATGGTACTAAAGCCATGCTAAATTTCCTGACTTTGAAACTGAGCTAAGGTTATTTAAGAGAATGTCTTTGCTATTAAGAAATAAAACCTAAAGTATTTAAGGGTAAAGGGGTATGATATCTGCAAATTATTCTCAAATGATTCAGAAAAAATATATATATATAAAATATTACATAATACAGTTATATATCTGCACACACAGAGATAATGATAAAATGATAAATGATTTAAAATAATGTGGCAAAATGTTAACAAATGGTGAATCTGGGTAAGGGGTACATGGGAGTTCTTTATCTTGCAAATATTCTGCAGGCTTGAAATTATGTAAAAATAAAATGTATCTTATAAAGTATTTATGCAGTGAATAAAGAACAAAAAAAGGATAACTGCAGTTAGAAGATGTTTATGAAGTTGGTTATGAAGATTCTTAAGAAGTTACCAATGGAGGTACTGGTAGAACATTCAAAAAAGTAGTAGGGAAGGTTGGCCAAGTAGGAAAATATCAATATCCAAGCCAGTATAAAATGGAAATGAGAAGTGAGGAAGTAAGTGGAAGACAATAAGGATGGTTTTCGATTTGGCCACTCTATTTGGAGAGGCATCCAAATGCAAGAATAGAAGCCAGAAGAAGATGCTCAGTGAGATGGTTGAAAGCTAGACAGATTACTAGCATCCCCACCAGTAAAACCCTTTCAGTAACTAGAAGGGCTGCAATTTAGTACTTCCCTGACTTCTATGCTTATATTTTCTTCAATACATAAAATGGTTCCATAAACTCTTTTACCTTCTGAATTCTTAATATTAATTTTTTGAAGTTGTAAATAAAGTAGCATCAGTTCTACATTGTTACATTTCAGCTTAATTCATATTTATTTACTGAAAATGGGAACATTTGAAAAATCATGGGCATTTATGCTATGTAGATTGATTTTTATAGAAAAATATAAAAATATGACAAGTTTGATTTTTAAAGTCTTTTCTTAGACATATAAGTACTAAATATTCAACTCAACATAGATTTGTTTTGTTTTGTTTTGTTTTGTTTTTTGAGATGGAGTCTCACTCTGTAGCCTAGGCTGGAGGGCAGTGGCACGATCTCTGCTCACTGCGAGCTCCGCCTCCCGGGCTCACGCCATTCTCCTGCCTCAGCCTCCCAAGCAGCTGGGACCACAGGTGCCTGCCACCACGCCTGCCTAATTTTTTGTATTTTTAGTAGAGATGGGGTTTCACCATGTTAGCCAGGATGGTCTCGATCTCCTGACCTCGTGATCTGCCCGACTCAGCCTCCCAAAGTGCTGGGATTACAGGCGTGAGCCACCATGCCCAGCAACGTATAGAGTTTTTATTTGAGTATTATTTAGGTGGAATTCCATTTTAATAAATACAATAACAAATTATAATTTTGTCTAAAAGCCTAAAATGCCCTAGTTATAATATGTATGGTTTCACTGTTTAACTTCCTATTTCATAGGGTTGCTATTTATAACCACTTCACTCAACTCTGGGGGGATTAAAGATTAAAGACTTCTGATTCACTTTGTATTTGAAGAATTTTTTTTTCCTCCATCTTTGCTCAGCTAGTGGAATCCATGATGAATTCTCATCTCCAAGGGGTAAGCTGTTTTTAGTAAAGCCCAGTAGCTGACTTATGACTCCTTAGAAATAGCGTTGATTCCTTCCTTCTCCTGTGTTTTGTCTCTTCTAGAATGATAGAATCCATGTAGACACAATCAATTATCATGCTTAGGTACTGGTAAGCATGTAAAGATTTTAGTTTTGTTCACTTAAGTTATTTGTGTAGCAACTATCTGGGATCATATCAGAGAAATAAATAAGCACAATTAGCATTCTACTTGTTTGTTATGACTAAAGCTAGGTTGAGGAAACAGAAAAGAACCAGAGGTCATATGAGGATGAAGATAATACTAGGAACAGCATGTTTGGGAGAGTAACATCTGCTAGGGGTAGCAGATTGTGGGTAGAGAATAGAATTTGGTAGATGGATATTTTGGAGGCAAGTAGTTTGAGTAATGATTAGATCTAAGGTGTTTTCTCATCTGTGTGTGGCTGGAAGGAATAGAGATGAAGGTGAGTTTATTTGAGAAGTTCTGGAATTATAAAACTAAGTTGTGAAGTCAAAGAAATTATAGTAGCAAGTAAATAGAATACACTAAAAAGGAAACCAAATGAAAAATAATCATTACTCTCACTATATGTTTGTGTTCTTATTAGCAAGAAATTATTTTAACCTCTGTTTTTATAGTGTCTTAATGAAAAAATACTGAAGTGAAGTGTAGCCATATTAAATCCCTCTTTTTATTTCTAGAAAGGGAATCAAAGGAGAAAATTCCCATTCTGCTATACTAAAAGACCACTAAGTAAAGAGCCTATTAGTGTATGATAAATCCCATAGCAATATACGTTATTATTTTACAGCTTCTTTGTTGAAATGAATGTTTGTATGTGTTGACCAAAGAGTGGGATAAAAAGTTGAAATTTTGTTTTGAAATATTTTAGAAATGCATAGTTGTATTGCAGTTGTGAATCTCCTTAGATTTTTAAGGAGGCTGCTTCAAAGGATGTCATTAATAATCTTTTCAGGTGCTTACAAAGCATGTGTCTGTCAGCAGAATTAGAGAATCACCCAACTAGAGAACAGGTTTCACAATACCCTGAGTCCTATTTTGTTCATTAGAGAGGAAAATGTCTTGTTTTGAGTCTAAGTTGACATGCTTGCTAATTTCAGCAATAAAAGTTGTTCATTATGGTCAGGTTTAATTTAGAGCCTGGTAAGGTTCAGATTAAAGTTGATCAAGTTACTTTTACAACACATTTCTTAAATGAACTTTGAAATCTTAAAAGAAGGTAAAAAAGTATAGCAAACATTGAGTAATGTATCTAAAACTGAGAAGCAAAAATATCTGGTTATTTGAGGGTGAATTAATATCAAATCAAAGAACAACAACCCAATAAAGATCACCGTGTTATATAAAAATTTCCAAGTATCAAAAAACACAATTTTTCATTTAAGATATACACTATACTGAATATATTTGTCCACTGCCACATGCATAGTGCCTAGAATAGTACCTAGTGCTTAAAAATATTTATTAAAATGAATGGATGAGTAAATGAATTAATGTATTTTGCCAGCTCTGTGTATTTAAAGTTCTTTGTTAACTTTGAAGTGAAAATTTGACTTCATCTGAGGTTTCTGGGTAAGTCCATTTTAAAAATTCTATTGAACATATTCAAACATTTTAAGGTAGGCAATTCCAAAGCAACCTTTCAGCTTCCCATGTCACAGATGACCACAGTTTCACATTCTAACACTGGAAAACATCTTATTTCATAAAATCTATCTGCTACTATATGGTTCCCACTTTAAAATTTGTTCAGTACTCTCCAACTGACTTATGCCACTTACTTCAATAGCTGTCTTTGGCAGTTTGTTCCATATTTCAAACACTCTTTTGTATAAAGAAACCATAAAAGTTAGAAACCTGAAAATTGGATTTTTCTTCTGAGCAATCACAGCTTACAAATGTGGAAAATTTGTTAAAAGTTAGCCCCTCCAATTTTTCAATACAGAGAGGAGAAAGTGCCTGGAGTAGATGTACAATGTTTGGATAAGTTTGTTGCATTATTTTACTATTACCAAAAGCAATTGAGTTTAAATCACAAAGCCTGTCTCCCTACCTCTTTACAAAAGAAACACTACGTAATGATCAAAATTTGGCCTTTCCAAAACCAAAAATGATTAGAAAATCAGCAGGAGTCAAAGAACAGAGTAAATAACTAAGTTTCATATAAGTTTCAGATGCATTACTATCTACCACTTTCATCTCTTCATCTTCATTGGCTTCATGTGGTAGAACATCATATTTAAAATTATACAAACTTGCTGGCTTGTTTACTAGCGTGGTTGTTACAAGAAAAAAATAAGAAAATGTAGATAAAACATCTGTCACATATTGCTTACAAACTAACAGTAAATATTACTTTTATTTTCCCCAATTAAAATAAAATTTATTGAGTTTTAGAACCAGAGTTAGTCAGATGCCTTTTTTTCGTCAATTTCCTCATAACTATATCTGCGATTTTGGTCCTTAAATCCAGAGAGACTAAGATGACAGAGACAATAGACACTGAAGAAAGGGAAGAATATCTTAATGATTTACATTACTACCTATAAATTAAAAATTATTGACTTTGTTATATTTGTATTTTTATTTAAAATAGTGCTATATTAAAGTCATTTATAATACAGGGAAATAGGAATACTAACCTCTAATCTGATGCTCTCCAAACCTGCCTAAATCATAAAAGTTAATTAGATAATTTATTTAAAATGCAAGATTTGCAGCCCTTTCCACTACATATTCATTAGTTCTGGGGTGAGGCAAAAAGGTTGGTGATTCTTATGGACAGGCAGCTTAGGAGAAAAGCTGATTTAGCTCATCTACTTCACCTTTTCGTTTGACAGGTGAGGAATCTCAGGGTACAGTGAAGTTAAATAAGTAATATCTCTTAAATTGGTTCTGTGCTTTTTCTGTTTTTAAAATAAATATACCTTAATTTTGACATCACACAGAATGATATTATAAGTATAAATAGCTATCTATCTTTTAAATACATTGTCGTAATTCAGAATAACATTTCTTACTCAAGGCACTCTTACAGTGGTTTAAGTAATCCGAGGTACTCTGGAATGACTCCATTTGAGCCTTTAAATAAGAAGAAAATCTATAATCAAGATTTTCATTTGAAATATTTTTGATATCTAAGAATGAAACATATTTCCTGTTAAATTGTTTTCTATAAACCCTTACACGGTGACATCTTTTTTATTTCTAAAAGTGTTTTGGCTGGTCTTACAACTGTACTTTACTTTGTATTATGTAAAAGGAATACACAACACTGAAGAACCCCGATACTAAGCGGTATTTGTTCTTACAGGCAACAGTGCAGGATTTGGAACAGAGGCGCCCCCAGTTGGAAGAACTCATTACTGCTGCCCAAAATTTGAAAAACAAGACCAGCAATCAAGAGGCTAGAACGATCATTACGGATCGAAGTAAGTTTTCTAACAAGCATGGGACACTCAAAGCAAGATGCATGCCAAGTTTCAATAACAACTTAAGTTCATATACTCCCCTCACATTTATAAACATAATGTGAAATAATTGTAAATGATAACAATTGTGCTGAGATTTTCAGTCCATAATGTTACCTTTTAATAACTGAATTCCATTGAATAGAAGAAATACATTTTTAAATCAATTCAGGGCTTATATAGTTGCAAAGCATGCAGTGATGGGTGTGGTGACCACAGTGTGGCAGAACATTTGTTCTTTAGTTGTCATCTGGGCTGGCATCCATGGAGATGCCAGTCTCTCCCTCATATCCTTGGTTGTTGGTCTAAGCAGGCAGTGACTTCTTCCTGGGCCACCTGTCATTCCCGTCTGTGGTGACTTTCAGATCTGGATATGTCTCTGCTACTTTGATGCCCCTATTTTGTAATATCAAAAATCATCGTACTGTACCTTATGCCATAATAGGGTGGGCAGGAACTTTGGTAAGACCCATCTGACTAGACGCTGTGCATATTCTTTTCTTCTGACATACACTCCTATGTGTTTAATGGGGAGAGTGATTCACAGTGATTGTGTGTTGTGTCAGTGGGTTTCCATGGGGTGAGGAAGAGTGATAGAAGAAGGAGTAGGGGAAACTTGCCACCCGGTTTCCCTCAGAGATTCTCCTCAGAAATGAGGTCCAGGTCAGCTCTGCTTTCAGGTTCTCTCAGATCTCTCTGGGTTTCCTCACTTCTCTCTACCTTCCTTCCCTCCAGAGACACACACTGGTATTGAATTTTCTTGCTTCCTCTGCAATATCCCCTCATTTTCCTTCCTACAACCTGAGGAATCCTTTGTGGTGCAGGAAGGAGGAAAACCTTTCAGCCATCCTTTATTTCTGTCTTTGAAATCTTTTATCTTTTACCAGGCCTAGATTTTTGAAACTCACAAACCATGAGAATCTATGTCTTCATAATTTATATTCTGCTATGTTAACCCTTCCCCAAGGAAATGACTAGTTGTCAATATGTTGGGGAAAGTGAAAGAGTAACCAGAGTAAAAGGTTAATATTTTAAAATATTATTAGTCATACTTCCACATATTGGGTTCATACTTATTGATAATAGCTAGTATTTATTCAGTACCTCATAAGCATTAGTGTGTGCACATGTGTGTGTTTCTGTGTGTTTGTGTGTACAAAATCTTTACAGAATCTTGTGAGCTATATTTTATAATCCCCATTTTACAGATGAGAAAACAGGCTCCAAGATCAGTTATTCAAATTGCTGAAGTTTACAAAACAAGCAAAGAACAGAGCTCGGAATTTGTAAATGTCTCTTTCAGGCTTGAAAATCTGCACTCTTTCTAGTATGTTTACCATTTCCCATCTTGTTTTGTTGCTTTTGTTAATGACCTTAATCATTGGACTAAGACTAAATACTTCTTTTGTCTGCAATTATGTATATTTTGATTCACTTCCTAAAGACATGTCTTCTTTCAGTTGTAGGGATTGCTAATTAACATAGTCTGCTCTTGGTTTTGAAAGTTTAACTATTCATTGTTCCTTAAACAATGACTGTGGATATATACTAATGTATTATTTTAGTAACACTAGCCACTATAACAGATAATCTCCCAAATCTTGGAGGCTTACTGCAGTAGAAATTTACTTCTTATTTTAGTGCAGTCCAGAATAAGCAGCCCTCTTTGAAGTCATTCAGGAACCCAAACTCTTTCTATCTTTTGTGTTCAGAGCATAAGACTCATACGCATTTAATGGGCAGATGAAGAAAGTATTACTCATGAAAATTTGTCATGAGCCAGGCCTGGAAATGGCGTGTGTTAATTTTGTTCATATTCTGTTGGATGGACCTTGTCATATGGTCACACCTGATTGCGAGGGAAGTATGGAAATAGTGTACACTGTTGAGGCTAGGAAGAGGAACAGATTTGGTAAGAAATTAGTCAACCTCTGCATAGCTAATTTGAACAAGGAAGAATGCACTTATATTCTATAAATTTGTGTAAATTATAGGATGTCATATGTATAACTTGCAAGGCAAGAGCAAAATTGCCTTGTAATGACCAACATAGATAGCTGTACAATTGATTTAGCAGAGCATTCCTCCACCATACTGGAGCCTTGAGGGTTCTCCAACAGGTTGCAACACACTGACCCAAAAGAGTGAATCTTAGGAGTGATTTACTCAATATGAGACTGAATTCCCATTACACAGATAAGTGATCAGTTTCTTGCCTGAGAAATATGGAAATTTGGCAATGATGTTTATGCAAATCTGAACATACTATACAGAGAGTCATTTGTTGTTTTACTAATGAAAAATAACTTCAATTTTTTCCCTAAGAGGAAAATAACATGAATGTATTATACAGTATTTGTTCAACATTGTCTGAACATTTTCCATTATCCCCTGCATTTTTTTGGTATTGCATTGACTTTTTCATGATAGAGATTAAAATTGAATGACCAGAGGGCAAGTTTGTATCTCTCTGCCAATATTCAGTGATTTGAATAGTTCTTCTTTTCTAAGCTTTTGTATTTTAGGAATGAATACCTTTATGAATATTGGCAGCATAGTGGAAAGACTCTAATCCAAATGGTCCAAGCAAGCATTTTCTTAAAAGCAAGTGTCTGTCGAGACGTGTCATATTGCTTATTAAGATCCTAAACTGCAATCTTAGTTCCAAATATGCCTGGAGCCTCTAAATGGTACCAGGATATTCTGACAAGATATGTTTATCTAAACAATGTCATTTGCAGCCCTGCTACACTTTGGTTTATCTCTCCATTTGAAATCTATAAAATGGGATGGAAATTCAATACTCATAAACTTTCAATCGTGTTCAAAATAGAATTTTTCTTAGTAAAGATTTGGTTTTCAGGGAAAGGACAGAAATAAAATACTTGCTCATAAAATTGTGTTTTCTCCTTTGATGATTTTGGTCTTCCTTTTTATTGCCATGAAACTTCTAGAAATACTCAAAAAGAAATCAGCTAAATAAAGAAAAAATAGTTAATATATGTATGTAATACTATATTGAAACATTTTTCTTTCTTTGGTAAATCCCATTTCATAACTCTGAACAGTTGGGAAAATCTATACATAGTTATTGCAGTCTATCAAGAGAAAAGTTCGGTACAAAGCTATTTCTGTCTACCAGAAATATTCATGTTAAAATTCAAGTAATTGGGTGTGCAAGCCACCACCATGTTTTACTATATGAAACTATTACCATGGTATCTGTTGTATTCAGGTAATTATATTGATGGAAATCATGAGGTAATAATCTAGGTAAGAGAATACATTTTATTTAAATGCGATCAAATGAAAAATTCTCCCTCTTTCTAATGTTCAAATTGCTCATTTTTCTTTAACTCTTTGGTTTCTGAATTTGTCAATCATTGCTGGTCATTTTCTTCTGCAAAAGGGCTGGATCAGGGAACCAAAAGCAGGTAAGATTAGAAGAATTTAAATTTTCTTCCTTGGAGGTATCTGAATTATATGAAACTCTTGTTCATGTCTGTTAATACTGCAAAGCATAATACCATAATACCTTGCATAGCACTGAAGAGGATTTGGAAAGAAAGAACGGCTTCCTTTTATCATTCTGTTTATTTCACAAATAATATTGGTGAATGTCATTCCTGTAACATTTGGATTTAAGAGCCTTGTTTCTGTAGCTTCTCCCTCTGTAACCCCCACCATTACCATTTCAGGGTTACACAGCAATAGCATGCATTACTTTAAAAGGCAGCCTGCCTAGACTGGCCACTTGTTAGTTTTGTAACCTTGAACAAATGACTAATCTCAGTAAACTATACGCTTTTAGTTTCCTTCTCTGTAAAATAGGCTCACTTATAGCTATCTCATGGGTCGGGAGGATTAGATGAAATAATTAATGTAGAACACTGAGATCAGAGTCGTAGTAAAAGCTCAGTGAATGTTGGCATTTGTTATTTTAACTATAATCTGTTGGGGTGCTTTGAATGTTTAGTGCAAAATATTTAATGAGCTTTTAGGTAGCTGTTTAGTTATCTCACCCCACCCCCCACCACCCCAAAAAGAGAGATTTAAAAGGCAGACAGGAGAAGGTTACTTTGGAAAAGATGGAATAAGATATATAAATAGAATTAAACAAATATTCGGGAAAGCCTTTTGTGGGAAATACTGCAAAATTTTTATGATTCTCTATAAATTTAGTAGGTAGATATTACTATTCTCATTTTAGAGACAGAAAACTGAGACTCAGAGAGCTTACGTAACTTGTCTAGGGTCTTAGGAAGATGACAAGTGAGGAAGTAGAATTCAAGCCCATGTCTATATGATTTTAAAGCCTGAGACATCAAATGGAAAAGGCTGATTAGTCAAAAAAATAGGAAGATATATTTATCTGACAACTTAAAATATTAGGACTAACCTCAGGTTATTATAGTCTTGATATACATTTTTTGCTGTTTCTATTTATACTTTTGACTTCTACATATTTGAGTGTCTAACCAAAGGATTGTCTTTTGCACGTGTTGGAAATGTATAGACTAGTGGACCCCAGTGATCTATTAGCTGTGTAACCTTAGCCAAGTTAATTCTCTTTCCTAAACTGTGGTTCTCTAATCTGTCATGTGGAGCTAATAATAGTACTTATGCTGGTAGGGTGATTAAGAAAGTAAAATTACTGGTGTTTCTAAAGTAAATATGTGGCACATATTAGATGCTCATTAAATGGTACATATTGTTATGATGAGATGGATTTAGTACAGAGAGAACCGGGGATGGGAGAATATGAAGGGTGTATAATGTGGCCTTTTAAACCAAGGGAAGGACTTCTGAAACAGAATTCCAAGTTTTAAGAGGGAGTTGTTTATTTTGGAATTATTTTTTCAGCTAAGGATTTTTCAACCCAGTCCAGAATTCTTAGAGAAATTTAGTGATAGCTTATAAATTTTAAGAAAAGGAGTTCACATTATATTGCATAAAGAATG